GGTCGTTATGTCATGTCTATGACGATCTCCGGGGGAACGAGGGCCTTGGCTTAACCGCCTGGGCTGCGAGGATGGGGACCTCTATAAAAAAAACCCCCCCAATCTCAAGGGCCGCGGCAAGGAGATGGATGGCCGGCGGGTTAGCCGGTCACTAGCGGTCCACCCCGGGGCACCTGGCGAACCCCGGGCGTACAAATCGCCCGACCTCAGCCGAGGGGGCACCGGCTGGGGGGTACGTATTTCCTCCCATTTCTAGAGCCCGCCCTGTACGCCTTCGGGTCACAAGGGGTAGGCAACACAAGAATGATGTCTCTTAAAACAAAACAAACACAAGACGCGGTGGAGGGTGAGGGTGAAGTGGAGGTGGAGGCGTACGCCTCCGTAACATGCGGGCGGAATATGCCCATTGCGGCGCGGACCAACAGCGCTGCGGGATGGACTTCCTAGCCTGAGGCCTTGAAGAAGAGCCAGGAGGCCATTAACGGCCTACCTAGGGAGGAGGATCCTGGGGCGACCTACGGCCCTGAGTTCATCGGGACTTCGACTGGGTCATCACCAACCCAGTTAGGGCCCCTGGGAGTTTTAGTACTCTCCCGTCAAACCTCTCCTTTGAGGATACGTGGGGGGGCGGCGTCCGGGCACTCGGACTCGGAACACGAGGGGAGGGAGGAGGAACCCTCAACCTCCACAGGGACGGTGAAGGCAAGCCGCCCTGGCCCGGCAAGTAGCAAGGCTGCGCAACTGGCAAAAAACAAGGCTGCGCAACTGCCGAAGGGCAAGAAGAGGAGGCTTGATCCCTCCGCCTCGTCTTCTGACCACGAGGTGGAGGTCGTTGACGAGTCCTCGGACTCGGCCTCCTCCCCGGAGGATGAGGGGTGGGAGTCGGCATTCAGGAGGAAGAAGAAGGATGGGAGGGGACGCCCTCCGAAGGACCCTTCGCATGAAGGGTGCTTCACGGCGGAGGCACTGAAGGCCAAGAAGGTCTTCGCCAAAAGGTTGAAGCAGGGCCGGGACGAGGAGCGTGCCCTGGACCCCTCGGCGGTCCTGAAATACACCAAGAAGGTGGTGGACATCCGTCACAAAGAGGCGGACCTCATACAGGAATACAGAGACATCTCTTCGGCCGGCTTAGGAGCAGTGGTGACGGAGCGCGTGGCCATGCTGCAGAAGATGGCCCAGGGCTGCTCCAATCTAAAAGGTACCACGGTTCAAGCGCTGTGGAACACTTCGGCCCACATTTCGGCAGCCGCCGCGGTTTTGAACCAGAGAGCGCAGCAACCTGGTCATGCGGTGGCGGAGGCCGAATGGGAGGACATCAGGAAGGAGGTCCGCCAGCTAAAGGGGGACCTGACGCACCTCAGGGCCGAAAATGAGAGCTTCAGGTCCGAGAACGAGAACATGAAGGCCAAAATTAAGAAATTGGAGGAGAAGCGATCCAGAGTGGCTGCGAGGGCTCCTAGCCCTCAACCCACTCCGAGGTTGAGGAGGACGGCGACGCGGCCGGCGATCGTCGAGTCGGAATCGGAGGGGGAGAGTATGAGGGGGACGAT